TCTCGGCGACCGCGAGAACGGAATAGAAGATGGGGCCGATGGTCCATTGGTGGATCTTGGACTGGTTGGTTAGTGGCGCTACCAGGGAACGATGGCTATCATGGTCGTGAATGAGGAATTGGGAAATGGAGACTCACGGGTGAATGGCTGTGATCAGATATATAAGGCCGTGTCACGGACTGAAGAATAGCATTCGCGACGTACGTTGTAGTACACGTCCTGTCCACCCACGTGCAACAACGTGTGCGAGAAATCACTCGCACCCATCTGCAGCACGTAGTCCACCACCCACAGAGCCGCGCCGAAACTGTCGCTAATTCTGGGAAATCCTCCGCACGATGCGGTGTTCATCTCGAACATTATGAACGGCTTGCCCGCAGCAAGCGCGATCGCAGATGAGTTCAGATATGGTGCGATGATGCTCTTGCAAGAGGCATGAGTGAGGTAGCTCGGGAAGACCGACTGAGAGTCTTGAGGGGGACCGAAACCTGGATATAGTGCGGCACAGTTGTCATTTGGATAGCTGGGTAGCGGGGACCATTTGTTATCCGAAATGTCATACACCCGAAAAAGAGGATACTCGCTGCTCTACGATCAATGCCGTGAGATTGTTCGTATATGCCGGGATGAAATTCGTGTTCTAAACATCTGACATGCACGTATCAGTCGTTGCAGAGGTGAGAAAACGCGAACAGCGGCTGCCATACCCTCCGGGGTCCAGTCTCCAGTAGCTATGCTCGGAGACAGCAGGTTGTTGGTGACCGGCGTATTGGCATCTGCTTGCATCGCCTGAATGACCTGTCCAAACTCGCCGAAGTAGTCGTATGGACTATAGGTAGCCGGGCGGTGGCCGTGGCTGTCATCACTTCAATGTCAACATGCATATGGTTCATGAAGTGGAAGACTAGTGCATACCGGGCATAGAGATCGAGCTCATTGCCAATCTGCAGTCCTATGAGGTTGTCGCCCAAAATACGCTCACCGTATTCTGCGATGGCAAGATGAAGGTTGGAGCTATCATTCAGTGGCATGCCGAGATACCACTTCGTATTGACAAGGCCTGAGATGTTTGAGAGCATATAGAGGATCTCAGGGTATATAAAAGGGCCGGTGTATCCGTCTTCCAATAGTTGAAGTTAGTGTCGCATTATGGAGGCTTATAGGCAACGTTCTGACGTATGGGGTTGCCTCCATCCACACTCTGTTTTGCGATCGATTTGCCATTTGAAAGATCTGAGATGAGCGTTGCATTCTCCTGGAAGTTGCCTCCTACACGAACGTGAACGCGGCCTGCGCATTCAGTTATGAGCGCCATCAGGTTCAAGAATGGCACTTGCAGATGTGTGCTGTCAATGACCGGAGATCAGGCTTCTGAATGTTGCTACGCCATGCAAACTGTTGAGAGCTTACCCATTGAGACCGACTGTGGACGAAGGTCAGGAAATCCAGTGAGCGATTGCAAATATGAGGTACTTGCTCGTCATGGAATTCTGTAAAGCTACTCACGAACTTGGTCGGCCACAGACATCTCGATGCAGAACCCCAGCAAGGCACCACTCATAGGGAAAGAGAGTCCCTGTACGTCACCGGCATCATTATGGAGCTGTAACTCAAACTGAGTAGACGGTGGAGGGTCAGGTATAGGTGGAGGGTTAAGAACAGTAGGATCGTAAGCTGCTGCCGCAGTGTACATGGCAGCAGGGATACTATCCCCTACAGTGCTACTCGCTGCTGACGCTGATAAAGGGAACTGGTCATAGACGGTGACAGCATCAGCCGTGCTGAGTAGCAGAATGAATGCAGAGAGGAACG